ATATATTTTATATTATATTAATCAGATTTTATATATATGTATATATATTATATTATATTATATTATATTATATTATATTATATTATATTATATTATGTTATGTTTGGTGTTTTTTTGTTAGAAGCAATAATGCCACAACAGACATTTATCAAATTTGGCTCTTTATTTGTATTATAAAAGCCAGAGAAAGTCTGAATCTCACGAAAAATCCCTTAAGTTGGTTTCACTGCAATATTAAAATTTAATTATTATTGCAATCATCCAGAAAAAACATTCATACAGACTTATATTTATTCATCTGCCATCATTTCATTCACTTGTCAAATGAACAAGAACATATATTACAGTAAAACACAATTTCTGGAGCATTTTTATGAGATTCACCATCTTTTATTCTCAAAACACATCCAGCAACATGACAACCTCAGCACGTTTTCCACATTTCTTCATGCGCTGGTGTGATTTATGTCCATCAGCCGCTGACGGTCACAGTTTTGTCCATTAGGGGGCATGATGGGATTTAACAAGAATACACACATTCAAATGGAAGAAGAAAATAATAATCACAGTCAGAGTGCTGTGTTGTGTCAAACACTTCATTACTGCTTTAATAGACATTTCATAATCTCAAAGCCATCATTAGAACTAGCTTTTGTACATCTGTGTCTATTTAAAAAAAAAATGAAAATCTGATGTTAATCTTTGGTGTTTCGCTGGAGGAAGCTTGCTATTCACAGGCAGAAATGCACAGAAAACTAAAAGGGAAAGTGTACAATGGCAAATATTCCAGAGTCCAGTGATCCTTGAGGCTGATATTAGACACACTTCTGTTTTATTCAGCATCTCTGAAAAATACAAACACAAGATAAGTGTTATTATTCACAAACACACACATGTACATGAAAATAAACCCATAAATGCTCAGAAAAAACACATTTGGTTGAGGTTTAGGGGCAGGTTTAGTGGTATAGGTGGGTTTAAAGGTGCCATAGCGAGCATTTAATTATGTTAAATTGTTTTCTGATATCTATATAGTAGGTATGTGGTTAGGTGAGGGCAAAAAACTCACCAGAAAGGGTTTTATATGCTTATTTACAACCACAGGAACTACCAGTAGAATCAGAAGTTCTGTTTTGACCATATTTGGTAGGGTCATGAATATTAATGAGTTCAGCTCTAATGCTCTGCAGCTCAGTGCCTGCGCTGTCACTCACAAACACACATACAAACACACCCCTGCTGAAAAATCCAGCTTAAACCAGCCTAAGCTGGTTTGAGCTGGATTTTTCAGCAGGGACAGCATGATGTACTCTGAAATAAACACATGTAAAATAATCATGCATCATTTGTCAACAAAGTATTTTGTTCCACTTTATTTTAAGGTGACATAGTTTTATTGTAGCTATTGATTTAATCAACGACTCATTCTCTGATTTCTAAATTGTAGATTTGTGGCTTAGGTAAGTACAAAGTTTCACCAGAAAGGGTTTTATATGCTCATTTACAACCACAGGAACTAACAGTAGAATCAGAAGTTCCGTTTTGACCATATTTGGAAGGGTCATGAATATTAATGAGTTTATCTCTAATGCTCTGCAGCTCAGTGCCTGCACCGTCACTCATAATCACACATACAAACACACAGCATGTTGTACTCTAAACATATAAACATTCAAAATAATAATACATCATTTGTCAAGAAAATATTTGGTTACATTTTATTTTAAGGGTACGTGGTTACATTGTAACTGTTGATTTAATCAACGACTGGATCTCTGATATCTAAATTGTAGATTTGTGGTTTAGGCAAATACAAAGTTTCACCAGAAAGGTTTTTATAGGCTTATTCTCAACCACAGGAACTCCCAGTAGAATCAGAAGTTTCATTTTGACCATATTTGGAAGGGTCATGAATATTAATGAGTTCAGTTCTAATACTCTGCAGCTCAGTGCATGCTCCCTCACTCACAAACACACATACAAACACACAGCATGATGTACTCTGAAATAAACACATGCAAAATAATCATACTTCATTTGTCAAAAGTATTTTGTACACTTTAGGGGACGTAGTTACAGTGTAAGGGTCATGAATATAAATGAGTTCAGCTCAGATGCTCTGCAGCTTAGTGTCTGCTCCCTCACTCACAAGCACACACACACACACAAGCGTACACACAGACATACACACGCACAGCATGATATACTCTGAAATAAACAGGGGCAAAATAATCATAGTTCATTTGTCAACAAAGATGACGTAGTTACAGTTAACTATTGATTTAATGAAGGACTCGTTTTTGGATATCTATGTAGCATAGATATATACATTAGATGTAGTCTACCCTGTTGTCTATTAGAAGGAATGCATCAGTAGAGCCCCATTTTAGTACAGGGTAGGGCTCCTTTGAAATTAATGCGGTACCAAGCTGCTGAAGAATTACACATATACACATATATCTATGATCGGGAGTTTTCCCGGAGGTCAGTATGCACATTTTTACATGTTTTAACATATCGCTAGCATGTTTTAGCACATTTATAGCATGAATCACTATGCTGACAGAATATTTAACATGTGCTAATACATGGCTAACATGTTTTAGCACATTGTTTGCATGTATTACCATGTTGTTACATGTTAAAATATTCTAGCAACAGAGTAATACATGCTAACAATGTGTTAGCAGATGTTAACATGTTTTAGCACATTGTTTGCATATAGTACTTTGTTCCTAGCATATGTTAACATGTAAACACATGGCTAGCATGTTTTAACACATTGTTTATATTAAGTACTATAGTGTTAGCATATTTTAACATGTTTTACACGCTGTTAGCTTGAACCACCATGTTGTTAGCACATTGTAACATGTTTATACATATCGCTAGCATATTTTAGCACATTTATAGCATGAATCACTATGTTGGAAGAATATTTACCATGTGTTAATACATGGCTAACATGTTTTAGCACATTGTTTGCATGTATTACCATCTTGTTACATGTTAAAATATTCTAGCAACAGAGTAATACATGCTAACAATGTGTTAGCACATGTTAACATGTTTTTAACATAAGCCTAACATATTTTTAGCATATAAATAGCATGAATTACCATGTTGACAGAATATTTAACATTTTAACATATGGCTAACATGTTTTAGCACATTGTTAGCATATAGTACTTTGTTCCTAGCATATGTTAACATGTAAACACATGGCTAGCATGTTTTAACATTGTTCATATTAAGTACTATAGTGTTAGCACACTTTAACATGTTTTACACGCTGTTAGCTTGAACCACCATGTTGTTAGCACATTGTAACACATTTAAACATATCGCTAGCATATTTTAGCACATTTATAGCATGAATCACTATGTTGGCAGAATATTTACCATGTGCTAATACTTGGCTAACATGTTTTAGCACATTGTTTGCATGTATTACCATGTTGTTACATGTTAAAATGTTCGAGCAATAGAGTAATACATGCTAACAATGTGTTAGCACATGTTAACATGTTTTTAACATATGGCTAACATTTTTTAGCATATTAATAGCATGAATTACCATGTTGACAGAATATTTAACATTTTAACATATGGCTAACATGTTTTAGCAGATTGTTAGCATATAGTACTTTGTTCCTAGCATATGTTAACATGTAAACACATGGCTAGCATGTTTTAACACATTGTTCATATCAAGTACCATAGTGTTAGCACTTTTTAACATGTTTACACACTGTTAGCTTGAACTACCATGTTGTTAGCACATTGTAACATGTTTAAACATATCGCTAGCATATTTTAGCACATTTATAGTATGAATAACTATGTTGACAGAATATTTAACATGTGCTAATACATGGCTAACATGTTTTAGCACATTGTTTGCATGTATTACCATGTTGTTACATGTTAAAATAATCTAGCAACAGAGTAATACATGCTAACAATGTGTTAGCACATGTTAACATGTTTTTAACATATGGCTAACATTTTTTAGCATATTAATAGCATGAATTACCATGTTGACAGAATATTTAACATTTTAACATATGGCTAACATGTTTTAGCACATAGTTAGCATATAGTACTAGGTTCCTAGTATAGTTTAACATGTAAACACATGGCGAGCATGTTTTAGCACATTGTTCGCATGAATTACTATGTTGTTACATGTTAAAATATTCTAGCAACATAGAAATACATACTAACAATGTGCTAAACCACGTTAGCCATGCGTTAAAATATGTTAACATAAGAGTATTTCGTTCATCCTGCAGAAAATATTCATTTAAAAGATAGATTTGTGAGGTGTGTATACTCATATATGCTGAGCACTGCAATATTTAAAATATAAAGCGTAATAAACACTTAAATGTGCATTTTAAAAGTGTTATTTGTACTAGTCTAAAAACACACAAGTCATTGAAGCAAAATAGGCAGTGCATGAAAAAATGTTCATCTCTTTTGCCTTAAATTGTCCGTAATTCCCCTCTAATCACATTAGGCTGGCCATCCTCATGCTGCTGATCCCAGTGATGATCATAATGAGTGTGTTATGAGAGATGAAAGTGTTGATTAGTGGAGTAAATAAAGGAGCATGTGACTCACCGTGGGCAGATGTGCTGTTCTGATGTTACGGGTTAAAGCTTGTGTTAGCTGTGCAGCCTTAAAATCTGACCGAAGCCCATCAGGAAAACATGCAGGAGAGACGCTTGAACAAAGTTAGTGAAGGCTCTCGCACACACATTTGTTCTCATGCGATCACATTTAGCATAAACTACTGTGCTACTATATTTAACATGTTTTAACATGTTTTAGCATTGTTAGCTTGAACTACCATGTCGCTAGTACATTTAAATTGATTTTAATACATGGCTAGCATGCTTTAGCACATTGATAGCATTAATTAGCATGTCGACACAATATTTAACTTTTTAACATGTTTTTAGCCCATTGTTAGCATGAAATACTATGTCACTAACGTATTATTATATGTTTTAACACAGCTAGCAGGTCGACAGAATGTTTAAAAAATTTTAAGACATGGATAACATGTTTTAGCACATTGTTAGCATGTGTTACTATGTTGCTAGCATATTTTAATGTGTTCCAAGGCCATTGTTATCATTACTATGTTGCTAACATATTTTAACATGTAGCACATGTTTTTGTTTTAATACTTTGTTAGCTCGAATTACCATTTTGCTAGCACATTTCAAGTTTTAACACACAGCTAGCACATTTTAGCACATGTATAACATGAATTACTATGTTGACAGAATATTTAACAGGTTTTAGCAAGTTTTAGCACATTTATAGCTTGAACTACCATGTCGCTAGAACATTTAAATAGGTTTTGACACAGCTAGCATGTTTTAGCACACTGATAGCATTAATTAGCATGTCGACACAATATTTAACTTTTTAACATGTTTTAGCCCATTGTTAGCATTAAATACTATGTCGCTAACGTATTTTAATATGTTTTAACACATAGATAACATTTCGACAGAATATTTAACATCTTTTAAGACATGTATACCATGTTTTAGCACATTGATAGCATGTGTTAAAATGTTCCAAGCACATTTTAACATGTAACGCATGATTGACCACTTTATTAGCTCAAATTACCATTCTCCTAGCATCCTGTTCGCTTAAATTACCATGTTACAAGCACATTTGAATAAGTTTTAACACATGGCTAGCATGTTTTAGCACATTGATAGCACAAATTACTTTGTCGACACAATATTTAACATGTTTAAACATGTTTTTAGCTAATTGTTAGCATTGAATTATTATGTTGCTATTATGTTTTAACATG